AAAGTTGCCCATATATATTTTTCCTCCCCAAAAGAATAGAATATCATAATTTTTCATTTGAAAAATTTTGAACAGATTGTAGGATGATGTGAATACCTGGGATGCCTACATGTTGACTAACAACCCTTTTATTTCAGACTAGAGGCCCGATGCATGAAATTCATGCAAGAGTAGGCCTTCCTTCCCGGCACCAGCTTCCCTCTGGCACCCAGGACCCAGGTTTCCCTTGCAGCCCCAGCTTCATCCAGGTCATCTGGAAGGACGTTCTGGTCTAATTAGTATATTACGCTTTTATTATTATAGATGTTAGGAGAATTCAGTAATTTATATATTAAGCAAATAAGCAAAGGATGTATATAAACTTTAAGTATCTGAGTTTTTAAAAAAAATTCATCAGAAATATTTTAACACTAAATGCTACATATTTATGCCTTCTCTTAGGAATATGAGAATTCAGTAATTTATATATTAAACAAATAAGCAAAGGGGTGTATATAAACTTTAAGTATCTGAGTTTTTTTAAAAAAATTCATCAGAAATATTTTAACATTAAATGCTACATATTTATGCCTTCTCTTAGGAAACAGAAATATCCTTGTATCTTCCGTCCCAAACCAAGGGCCTGAAGTGGAGTGTGTGCCCAGGATTCTAGCAGAATGCATAACTCAAGAGTATGAAAACCCTAAGTCATGTAGAGCTGTGTAAACGATTCCAGTGCTTTCCTATAATAACGATGCCCCTAATGGTTTCTGAATCATGTAGGACAGTTTCTGGAAACATTAAATGCCTCTCTGAATCTTGGCTTTCCTTGTTATTTCTAATGAATCTTCCACATTTTGTCTGTCTGTCGCTTCTTGTTGAGGTGATGGTAGCAGCATCTTCCCATTAGCCTCTCATCTACGCATTTTCAGAACAAATATACATCTTTTTAGAGAAAGAACTTGATGTCTTACACTAGTTATAATGTATTTTACTTTAGGAAATATATAGTTTTAGGAAGGTTGTGCCACATTTTTAATTAAGTAGTAAAATCTATGACTTTGTGGTATCTATTTCCTGTGCTGTTCTGATATGTTTTTCTCTTCCTTTAGAGACTATAGTTTTTTTGTATGCCTGTAATTGACCTCTAAATATTTCAGTTGTTATATTTTAAGAAGGCGCAATAAAGCAAAAGACAAAACACTTATTCTTTGACCTCAGCTCCCTCATAGACTGGACCCCTCACTGCTTCGATCCTCCTGGCTTTTTGGTTATGATAATAAGTAAAAGACATGAAGTGTGCAAAGTGCTTTATATAAGTTGTTTTTAGAGTGACTGTTATTAATGATGGCTTAAAACCATTTTTCAAGGGGGATGTTAACTTTATATCTAAGAAAAGACTTTAATTCTTCAGAATGTCTTGAAGATTATAGTAAAAGCATAACTAGGAAAGAATAGAGAACACAATGCTAAAAGCAGTGACAGGGTCTAATGAATGCCTTTTCTACTTCCAGTCTTCTCGGGGATGATAGGATTGAGTTGGGGTGGGCTTTGAGGAGCTGACTGAGCTGTGTAACTGCTGACAGACAATACCATTATATTTCAATATAGACCATCTTGCATGTTTAACTGACTTACTCCATGCCCAGTAACAAGAGATGTAACTAACTGTTTTCCATCTTTAGTCTTTCAAAGTAAAAGGGAATAATAGAAGACAAAAGCATGAAATAAAGTTCTCAGATATGAAAAGCACATCCTTCAGTGAAAGCATGAAAGACTAAGGATTACTTGTTGTGGAAGGTCTATAAACCCACCAAAAATAAGACATTTTACGATATGCATTTTATGAAAAGAAGTGTATTTGATGATTCTGTAAGACCTTATATAACCTTCATGCTTTTAAAGGTTTATGCAATATACTTACATAATCACAATGAGAAAATATACAAACACAGAAAGATACTACTCCACTCAGGCCTTCCTTTTAATAAATTGCATCGTAACACAAACTGCGTTTGTTCATCATTGGCATATCTTTTGAGGATTTGTTTGAATCATCAAGCTCGGAAGATCTGCATGCTCCTGATGAATCTCTTCTAGCCTTTCTTGATTATTTTCCAAATTTGATGACAAACACTGCAACATATTTCAGCCAATTAGGCTTGTCAACTTCCAGTGTGGTCCCCAATCAAGAGTTTGACTTTGGAAATGACAGGAGATCCTTATTAAAAGGCATGCTTGCTGGATAGAGATGTGGCAGCCACGCTTGGGGCTGATGGCAGAGGAGATGAGCTGTTTCTCATTAACAGCAATAAGCGGAAATCAGTGTTAGCAGGAAGGAACCTGGACTACGAAGTAAATGCTAAGGGAAGGCATTGAAGGGTATCTCACTTCTAGCTGATTAGAAATTGACTCAACCTAAATGAATATGATTTCTTATGAGCTACAGGGACGTCAAGTACACATGTTAACAGGATAAGAAGAGTTGATAGCGTATTAACAACTGGCTGAGCTGTCTCTAAATTCATCTCAAACAAAGGAAAAAAATGAGGTGATGTGAATTTCAAACCGTAACACACATTAATGCCCAAAGCAGTAAGTAAAGTGACGCGTTGTATGAGACTTAAGTGAACTTAGAGACATGGTTGCAGACCATTCTAGGTCTTTTCTACAGGAGATGACACAGAGATGTGTTCCTATTTTGGTAGCTAAATTCCTTGCTAGGCACTATCAGAAAAGCAGAAGGAAACGTTTTAACACATTAAAATAGTGAAGAAAAAAAAAGGAATGTTTAAAGTAAAAAGTAGCCTGATCTTACCCTGTGTGTTTGTGTAAGGCTTTTTTTTTCTTCCCTATTTCAAAGTGTTTAGGTTAGCTTCAGGTAAACAAAGTAACCCAAGATGGGAACTATTCTCTAAGAACTCACAGTTTGCTCATCCAAACTAACTAGATTACAAAAAAAAAAAAATCCATAAAATTTGTCATTCGTTTGATTTTTTTAAAATGCATCTAAAATATGTGTTTGAGAGACTACAGAGGGAATTTAGCGTAAGGAAATGAATAAGAAACTGCTTTTTCATTTGATGATACAATGAATAGGATCCACCCACTTAGAAGTCAAATAGCAGTATGCACAGCTACAAAATACGATTACCTTTGCATTTTACCTTTGGGAGTATTCTAGATTTCCTTTAAAGAACACTGGCATTTCTTTGTGGAACTCTCAGCACACAATATAAAAATCCCGGGCCACAGTGGTTCAAAAATCAATGGGCTGACAAACGTCAAGATTTCAGTTATCCATCTCAGAAGGAAAAATTGCTCGCAACACTGAACTGCCTTATACAGGAGATTTGGCGGAGGAACACTTGTAAAAATCCTATACAAATGATTGCCAAAATAGGAGTATAATGTTAAACTACAGGGGATGGTGTGGAGCAGCGGTTCTCAACCTGTGTGTCGTGAACCCTGAAAATACATCCTGCATATCAGATATTTACATTACGATTCATAACAGTAGCAAAATTACAGTTATGAAATAGCAACGAAAATAATTTTATGGTTGGGGGTCACCACAACATGAGGAACTGTATTAAAGGGTCGCGACATTAGGAAGGTTGAGAAGCACTGGGAGAGACAAAAGCAGAAAATACAAATATATTTGGGATAATTTATGCAACTTCCTCTTCTATTTTAAACTGAAGCTACGGGGATTATGTATATTTAAATCTCACTAATTCCATTTGTTGTGAATATATATGCAGAGGTCAAAAAACATCAGTCTTAAGTCCCAAGCCTTGTAACAAAATGATATGATATGATATAAATCAGAGCAGTCATGCTATGTTTGTCTGTTTGACAACAAAATAAACTATAAAATATAGTAGATAAAACCCCATAGGGTATTTTCTTAAGATCTGTTGGGTAGAGCAGGTGTTTTTTTTTTCTCTCTCACTCTCTCTTTCTCAAACAAAAGCAAAGTCTGTT